GAGTGCGACGGGATACAGCTTCAATTCAGCTTTAAGCTTACAATTAGCAGGCTTATCTAGAAAATAATCAATACTGCTCACTTATTTGGAATACAAACTTTACATCTCTAGATCGTTTAGATTAATCAATGCACAATGGTTTGTCGCAACATGGAAGCAATGATTGAACAGTCTAATTGTCATATACCCTGGCACTGGCCATACAGGATTCGTCTACTGCAGAGCTCTACTTGTGCTGTTGGGTCTGTTATCAGGTCAACTACTTCTTCATTACACTTTAAAAACTAATAACATAGAACAAAAAAAAAAAACAAAATCTGATTTTGCGTGAAACAACCATCCAGACACATGCAGGATACAGATCCATGCATCTCTTTTGGCTGTTGGTATATACCAAGCTATCTTTCTAGATAGGTCATGGCTGAGGAACTGCATCATCCTTCCTTGCAGAGGAACTCTATGTCCGCTACAGCTGTTCCTATCTTGTCTGATGGTGACACAGCTCATTGTACTGAAAGAGTGTACAGATGCAGCAGCGATCTTTCCACCAGACTGAGCCAGCACAGCTGCGCCGCACCCATACTATGGCTCCTATGGCATAATCTCATCGTGCTGCGCCAACACACCTGACCAGCACACACGAGCAAAAAGAAATACAGATAGTAGCAATTGTAATGAATTCGAGGTATCTACTAAAGATGCCTCGGAGGCACTTGTCCGTGCCCTGCTCCTGCTCGAGTCCCAGAAGAGCAACAGCAAGGCAGAAGCCAAACAGCTGCTCGAGACTGCCTTGGGTCTACAGAAACAAGTGAATGAACTAGTTCAGAAAGCATCTATCTATATTAGGAATGCCCCAGAAGACTCCGTTTTGAAGCATGATGATATTTGGACCAAGGGGATTCTTCCCTTCGTTGGTACTGGGGAATTTGCCTTTGTGGCACCTGTCAGCCACAACATGAAAAGTCTATACACAACATACTGTGAAACTTCGGAAAATCCTCCAAGGTTGCTTGATATTGGAGCTTGCACAGACCACCAGGCAACTAACCTCAGTGCTAAATTCTGCTCTGTACCCCGATCAGAGTATTGGTTCTCCCACCACCAAAACACTAGAGCTGGACATATCCCTGGCGAAACTGTCTGTGCCAAAGCTTCCGAAATGGGTAATATTTGTGTCCTTCAATGGGCCCGGAAAAAGGGATTCAACTGGGATCGCAAAACAAGCGAAAGAGCGACCGAGAATGGTCATTTGTCAGTGCTGAAATATGCTCATGAAAATGGCTGTCCCTGGGATGAAAAAACGTGTGTTTGTGCTGCCAAAAATGGTCACTTGTCAGTGCTGAAATATGCTCATGACAATGCGCGACCATGGAATGAAAACACATGCTATCATGCTGCCAGCAATGGCCATCTAGATGTACTCAGATATGCCCATGAGAATGGTTGTCCATGGGATAAAAAACATGCTCTGGTGCTGCCTGGAATGGCCATCTAGATGTACTCAAATATGCCCATGAGAATGGCTGTCCATGGCATGAAAATACTTGCTCTAGTGCTGCTGGAATGGCCATCAAGACGTACTCAGATATGCCCATGAAAATGGCTGTCCATGGGACGAAATCACATGCTTTGATGCTGCTGGAGGCGGCATATGGAGTGCCTCAAATATGCCCATGAGAATGGCTGTCCATGGGGGAAGAACATGGCACTAATGCTGCCATCTATGGACATCTAGATGTTCTCAAATATGCCCGTGAGAACCACTGTCCATGGGATGAAGAAACATGCAACGCAGCGGCTAGGCATGGCAACCTAGATGTACTCAAATATGCAGTTGAAAATGGCTGTCCCTGGCATGAAGATGATCTGGTTAGTCTAAGTACTGGGCAGGTGTTGGCTTGGGTTCTCGACTTCTTATCTCATATGAATGATTATTTTTAATATAAGAATGAATCGTTTAGTTTCCAAAACTACTCATACTGCCAGAGGGCAATGGTTGGCATTGTTTGTGGTACACAAAGCTTGTCAAGTTACAATGGTTTCCTTTTATTCAAGAAACTCAAACAGTTACTGTGCTCAATGTACCATCTGTTAACAGCTGCCCAATGTTAATGAAGGACTTGACCTTGGCAGTCTTGCTGCCAGAGCCCTCACAACCCCTTTAATTGTGTTTCATGTTTCCTGTTATGGTGGTCCCTGCAGATATAAGGGTAGGGTTACAATACAATTAAGTCAGCGAAAACTAAATAAGTATCCTAGGGTGCTGCTTTTAAACCAGCTAAAGCTATATTTACATGTATCCTAGGGGTATCTGCTTCTAAAAGGAAACTCTGAAGCCAGTGAAAGCTATATAACTAGTATTCTAGCTAGCTAGGGGTATCTGCTTCTAGCTTGTATGGAAATCTGCTTCTAGCTAGCTAGAAGCAGATGCTTCTAGCTACCTACTAGGGGTGCCTGCTTCTGGCTATTAGCTACTAGGGTTGGCTGCTTCTGGCTAGCTACTAGAGGGGTTTTTGCTTCTAGCTAGCTAAGCACTAGCTAAGCACTAGAGGTATCTGCTTCTAGCTAGCTAGCCAATATCGGTATCTGCTTCTACACTGAAACCTGTCTGCCGAGGTTCCACAGCTCCGCTGAGTTAATTTTGAAACCAACCCCTTCCATCTGTTCCAGCCCCTACTATCCCTGCCGGTCACCCTATTTCAACCTTACCTCCCCTTTCTCCCCCCTCTCAATCCCTCTCCAGCCCCGAGCTCTTGCGTGATGATCTTTCCATTCGCGGCTTGTTCGAACGCGGTACTCCTGCTATTATTGACGTACGTGTCACAGATTTAGACTGTACCTCTTACCTCAACAAAGATCCTATCAAAATTTTAACCAAACGATAATGTGACAAAATGTCCAAGTACAAAGAAGCATGCGAATCCAATCGCGCTTCCTTCCATCCATTTGTTGTTTCTGTGAATAGCATGCTTGCCCCCCAAGCCAAAATTCTCTTACAACGCCTTGCTTCTGCTACTGCCTCCAAAAATCAATTTTCCTACTCTCAAATGATGTTCTTCATGCAGAACCGTATCTCAATTGCCCTTGTGAAAGCTACCCATTTATGTCTCCGTGGATCTCACAAAGCAAAATCATTTGGCCTCCGTAATAATCCCCACTTATTTTTTGCCCCTGATCCCACAGAACCTAATCCTATTTTTCGATTGTTCTTTGCTTACACCTGGCCCCGGCTGGCTTCCGTAGATAATTTCTCTACTCTAATCCCCGTTGATTTATTCATTTGTTTGATCCCGGTGAGAGGGTTGTTTTATGATGATGTTGCGGGTGGTGAACGTCCAGAAACTGGGCCAAGAATGTTAATCACCTGTACCAAAAATCCAAGATCCAATCGCAAATCCCCACTGGGCTCCTCTTTGCAAATCTTCACCACAGCGCCCATTCTAATAACAACACTCGATCAGTATCAGTACCAACACAAAGCAACACAATGGCGTCTAATAGATCCATAATTAGAGGAGGCAACAAGCATCACATCCTCTTGGCAGACACGGCCAGTGTCATGACGATAGCTGCGTCTCTATTATTGATGAAACGGCTGAAATGGACCTCGAAAGACGCTAAAAAAAAGCGACGATACTTCCAGTACAAGGTGATTCAAACTCTGGTTGGCCCCACTCTCCAAATGGAACCAGTGGACTCTCAAGCCAGTGCCTTGTTCCAAGCAGACTCGAAAGAATCCTCGGCGTTGCTCATGCTGACCACGTATTCACTGTCACCTGCTTCTTCGGCCAGCAACAACTAGAACTTGATTGCCATGCTGATCCACGGATTTAACTGCACATCGTTGGATTTTGGAGCACTCGTGTCCCAGCTCCGCCAGGAGGATTCTTTGGGTATCTTTATGTATGATCGAGTCCTCTTTACATCTACCAGCGACTACCAACAGCGCCCTCGAGATGCTCCCACACTCTTTCATTTCTTGAAAGCCAGAAATGTCTCTCCTCCGTATCTGTTGATTGGACACTCCTATGAAGGGTTGATTGCACAGCATTTTTCGCCATCAGCACATAAACGACGTGCAAGGCATGGTCTTGCTCAATCCGGCACACGAAGATCAATTCAAAACCTTTCTCATGTGACGGTTTTTTCTCTGGGTTTTACCCATATCATTCCCCACGTGCTCTGGTTCTATTCCAAAGTTGCTTGGACAGGACTCCTACAATTCTTGGATCGCTTGGGACTATTCAATTTTTCTTCCGTCTTTCTCCTGTCACAACAACAATCCTCCACGAGACGAACATGTGCTCGCTTGTATTCGGAGGGCCACGTCTGGAAGAGAGTAGACATGGAACTCGAAGGCAGGATGTGCGCAAATATTTGTGCAAATGGAACAACAATAACCACAATCCAACAATAAGCAATACTATCCGAAGAGATTTCCCACCCATGGCGCTAGTCATTGCCGGTCATCGGCAATACTCACCGACCCGCCTCTTTCCAAAGACGGTTACCATAGCCTTTCTCGAAATGCACGCCACATCGTTGCCCCATGCCAAGGTATTCATGGCACCAAAATCAGATCATTGGATTCATTGCAGCAACCGGAGGAGGTGGTAATGCAAGGCGTAGAGTATGTGTTGGAGGAGGTTCAGAAGAAACATGGGTAATAATGAATATTAGTTTTGTCACCAGCAGACAGACTGTGCCCACAACAGTTGCCTGTTTAGTCCATGACTGGATAGATTGGACAAGCCGTGAAATCTACTCGAATGTGGAGGGAAAAGAGGGCTAACCATACCAGTAGAATCTCTATAGCCTGACAATTTTTTTCAGTACTATAGGATCTACTGAGAGCGCACAGCCAAGGCACTGGTTAGCTGGTTTGCATAAGTTCTGTGAACCCCTTCAATGTAATAGAATGAAGTGATTCCAGTCTGCAACTAATCATACTGGAAGGGATCTAGCTACGTGTATTTGGAATGGCCTTCTTCCTGATGTCAAGCTGCACAAGGTTATGTGCAACATTTTTCCTCGAAGCTTGTTCGTCCGAGGAAGAAAGGGGAAGGGTCAAGATTATGTACAACACATGATGCCGATAGTGAAGCTTCTGCGGCTAGCCGAACAGGAGCCAAGAGAGTATGGCAGCTGCATCACGCCCACTGGCCCAGACATGATGTTGTTTGTGCCCACGGCCACTGTGAGTAATGACGCGCGAAAGGAGACAGTCTCTGAAACCCTCGAACATGGGGGAAGGATTTGGATGATAGCACATCGATCGTCCGCCCGTCCAAGAAGACAGTGCCCCAGGTGGCAACTCTTCGTACCAGTACTTGGTCAGCTGGCGTACCGATCTTGATCCACAGGCAAGTCCCAGCCTGAGTGGTTGGATCGCTGGATAGTGCCCTGTCATGCAGTTAACACACGGCATGCCCATGGTCTCATCCAGCTATTAATACCGGTATGAGGTTCTGCTCAAGGCAACATGTACGTGGTCAGATTCGTTCCATTGACACTACAACACAGGCAAAACTACGTGTATAGGGACTACGTGAATGCCTACGGGGTTTGGTGCCTCAGAGCAAAACCCAACGGAGGACCCAAGTAGCCATAGCTGTCAGTTATCCTTCCTGATTGATGTTACGAGTTCAACCTTGGCTCGTCCAGCGTAATTTCACACTACCATTGTGCAACCTGAATCGGTCTACTTAGAATACAAACATCAGTGGAAGTAACTCTTCTGCAAGTGTCAAGGCGACGAATCCAGATGCTAACAGAGCTTCTTCCTTGGAAAAGCCTTTAGTGGGGAGCTTCTTCATGTCAATGCCTCTTTGGGCCACGTAGTTTGGCTGAGCTACACGGTCAACAAACTCAACCCAAAAGAAAGACTTGGCGCCTCCTTCCAGGGATGCCTCTGTCTTGCCAGATAAGTAAACGGAGACTACAGCAAACATAGATATAAGGCAAGCAAGCCAGGTTGTCAGGTTGGATCGAATCCGCGTTGCACGAAACACACACAATGAACGCGTATTGTTTACCTCCTTTGGTTTCAAATTTTGGTCCCAGCACGTTGGTGAGTTCTTTCATGTGAGCTTCGCTGGCGTCGTTATTGTCGTCTCCCACCACCGATTGACACAAGACATCCACCAGTGCATTGTACAAGTCCATGCAATCCTTGGCTTCCATCATTGTCTTGACACCGGCCGGTACCGTTTGCATGACGGTCTTTCGATCCATGAGCAGTTCCACGGCAATGCCCTTGGGAAAGTGGAGTGTCGTCTGGAGCAATTCGAGCGTCTCGTCGTAACTGCTCACATCATATTGAGGAACATAGGTTTTGGCTTTGGTCGTGTCAATAAACTCGAACCATCGATAGCTCATACCCTTGTCTGGTTTTAACTTACAGAGCGCCACCTGGACGTCCATGGCGGCAAATGGTTTTTCATATTCTTGGAGGACGGCAAGAATCTCTTCGGATTTCCAATTGCGAATCCAACTGCGCGTGGACTTGGCACTGGCAATGGATTTCATGCAGTCTTGATAGACGTCGAGCAAGTCCTTTTCCTCCAACAAGGCAAGGACTTCCGGGGAACACGGGTCGGTGAGTTTCTGGACCCCTCCCAATTCTTCCACCACGACACCTTCCGGGACCTTGTGATGTCCGTGAATGACAGTTTTGTAAGATGTTTGTTGTTCATCGTCTCCTTTTTTCGTGACGGACGTTTCTCCATAATTGACATTGTAGGGTGTACTGTAGTTCGGTGTGGTTGCCATGTCAATGTATTCCAACCAATAGTTTCGTCCCTCATTGGATCCCACTGACTCGCAAAGAATCGTCCGCACGCCATGCTTGGCAAAACAGCTTCGAAAGTCCTCCAACGGCGTGAACTGGATCAAGCCTTGATCTTGGAGCCTCCAAATATCAAAAAAGTTGCGCAGCGATTGGGATGCTGCAATGGCCGTATCCAGTTTCTCATAATCTTGTGTGGTCAATCCTTTGAGATGCATCATTTGTACTACTGCCGCAGGACAATTTTCCGAGAGTTGCGGTTGTCCATTGACCACCAATTGTTCGACGGCATGGCGGGTATTGCCTCCTCGTGTGGACGAAAAGCGTTCTGACACGTCTTTTCGTTTGGCGTCATCGACGGAATACAGAGGAACATAGTTAAGGATCGTCGTTTGGTCCATGATTTCCAACCATTTGAGATATTCCCAATCGTCTCTGGGATCCGTACATTTGCACACGACAATGTCGAGTCCAAATGCCTGGAACTCGGATTCGAATTGTTTCACTATTGCCAGTACTTCGGTGGTTTTCCAACTCCCCGTCCATGTCCGCGTGGTTTTCGAGTCGTAGATTGTCTGAATGAGTTTTTGGTACAAGGCTGTGGCGCCCTTGGCTTGGACCAGTTCCAATACTGGTTGAGGAACCGTGGATACGAATTTCTTGGGACTCCAATCGAGCATTTCGTGAACGGCCACACTGCCGTTGCCCGGAATGGCATGCGAATTGTGCAGCACTCGTTGGTAGCCACTCAGATCGAATTGTGTGGGTTTGTATGCAGGTTGGACAGTGGTATCAATGTATTCGATCCAGTACCATCGATAACTCCCACAATGAGAAGTGAGACAACACAGTGCCACTTGAATGCCCACAAATTGCCGTTGAAATCGTTGGACAATCTCCACCAGAGCCGGAATGTTCCACGTCTTGCCATCGTGGCCTTTCTTGACGAGATCTTCCATGAATTTCACGTAGATCGTTTGCAGCTTCTTCTCGTACAAGAGCGTCTGGACCGCATCGGGACACTCCTTGGTCAACCGGTCGCAGGCTTCGGGACCATCCGAGAATTCTTCCACGGCAATTCCTGAAGGGACCACATGCTGTCCTCGGGCTACTGGAGTGCCGGGCATTGTATTGTTTTGTTTGCTCGTGTGTGTTGGTTGGTTTGTGGGATACTAGTTACGGTAGTAGTAGTGGAGGTCTCCAAAACAAATGATCTGAAGCGATGCCATGAAGCATTGAAGTGGGCAAACCGTTTGGTCGAGGATGCATGGTGACAAGGTCAGGAGACCTGAAATTGGATCTTTGGATCTTCAATCACGTACCGGTGGTACGAGTACGCTACAGTATGGTACCACTTGCAGGATCTTTTCAAAAATTTCAACTTTTCCGATTGAATTCCTCACAATTCTAATTTGCCGAGTCCTCATAATTTCAATTAGTTCTGATCATTCTCTCACAATTTTTTGATTTCTCACAATTCCATTTTTCCTAATTTCTCACAACTCTTTCCAGATTTCTCACAATTTCAATTACTTTGCACGACTGACTGGTCGCCTCATATCTTCGTCCCCACTGTCACCGGTGGTAACGACAAGGTTGCCATGCCAATTTCGTGGTCCCACCATGTCATGGACAGAGCAAGTCCATGCTGCCATTTCCAATTCTTCCAAGTCCAAACCACAGTTTTTTAGTACTGTAACCATCTTTCATCTATAATAGAGAGACCCTGTTCATCATGACGACAAAATATCAAGCCGTTTCCATCGCTCCTCCTCTACATGTACTACTAGTAATATGTTTATCCCTGTTGTTACCGTTGGCGACGACTTTCTACCGCCGTGGGGGAAGATTTGCTGCCCTTGACATACTGCTAGACAAGGCGATAGGAAGAAAACGAGATTACTTTCTGGACAGCAAGTACTACCGCATCAAGGACTATTATGGGTTTCAATGCCTGGATGTTGGATCTGGCAATGGAGACTACTCCAAGTTCCTCAAAGAACAAGGACGTGACGTTTCCTCGGTGGATGTTTTGGATCTGTCGCACACTGGCACGGTCACGCTCTTTGACGGCACCAACATTCCCTTTGGCGACAATCAGTTTGACACGTCCCTGCTCATGTTTGTATTGCATCACAGCACGGATCAGAAAGGATTGCTCAAGGATGTAATGCGAGTCACAAGGGACTATATTATCGTGGCAGAAGACCTTATTGTCAATCCATTCGACGCCATGCTGGGACAGATTCATCTCCACAGCTCGCCTTGGGCCCAAGGGGAACATGAGGATGCCTTCAAAACACACAGCCAGTGGCAAACCTTCTTTGCAGAGTTGAAACTCCAGGTGGTAGACACTGTCACCATTTCAAGATGGACCTATCCTGTTTATCCAGTTGTCAGGAATATCTACGTGCTCAAAGTTCCTTCAACCTAGAACGACAACCTAAAACCACAAGACAATCCACGAGCGGGGCTGCAGGCAATTTTGAGAGCATGTATCCACCTCTGAAGTGTATGTTACTTCGTTAGAATAGAATCCTTTTATCTCTGTGCCGTTTGAGCGTTGAATGGCGTGGAAATATCCAACCCATTCGACAGTATCGACAGTTGCCAGAATTCATGTTTCAGGTTGTCGTCGTTTCGGTTATCAGAGAAGCATTCATGACTACGCCTCTAGAGAGGTGCCAGATTCATTGTACGGTACCCATTGCGGCTAGAAAGATTTGTGACCATTGATGGTGGGAAACCTGGTTCTGAGTGCCCGGTAGTAAACAGAAAACCACACTTCAACATGCACGCACCCTCAATCCGAGTCTTCAAAGGCAGCGTAATGCTGTCCTTGTTGATCTCTGAGTGCCAAGGTGGGAGCAGGGAAGAGGACAGAGTGCAGCCCCTCCAGCGACACGAGTTCCGCCGGGTAGCTACAAAAACACATAACCACACTGACTGCAGTCATAGCTACTACACTGTACATGTACGGTATCGTGAACGAAAAACTTTTCCTTGTTCCGTAGCCAGCTTTTTCGGCACCACCTCTGCTCACATTGATCCTCCGACTGGAGCTGTCATGAAGCGGAGGGACAGTCGAGTCCAAGTCAACAACCGAGCAGCGTCACTGCCTCTCTGCTGTCTTCCACGCTTTAACCCCAGTTCGTGGAGCAGGATAGCAGATATGACGTGGTTCCCGAGCGGGAATGCCTCAATACGTTGTTCTCATTTTTTGGAAGGCCCAAACCCAAGTCCGAGAAACCAATGACCGGCTCACCAGATGCTGAAGATGGCATGCAAGACCACTTTCAAGAGCAACGATGCCTTGAATGGGGCGACTGGAGGGTCCTTTGCATATGCTACAAGACCGAAAGCACCCACTGGTTGACTTGAAATGACCATGCCACTGTTGCCAGGGTATCCTTGGGCCTTCTGCAAAGGTTGCAAGTGGGGTTCCTCCACATACTTTGGGCCGGTAGAGAACCAGATTAAAACAATCGAGCTGGGAAGGGCGGTACAAGAGGCCCCATGGCTTTGGGCCGGTAGCCAAAGAACGTGAAGACAGCATCAAGCCAGGCATGGCGTAGCAATTGGTCCCATGGCTTTGGGCCGGTTGGGCAAGCAGCAGCACGAAGAAACTATCACATAAAATTCACATCCTCAAAAAACAAAAACAAGCAGTTGAGAACCCATCCATTCCTTCATAGTTTAACCAACAACGAAAACAAGCAGTTCAGAACCCCCATCGTTTGACCAACAACACCATGACGACAGTTTCTTTCACCTCGACGACCAGTCCCAATGTGGCCGCTGCGTTTGACTGCAGTGCCCAAGATTGCAACTTTGTGCTGTACGAAGCGATGCATGATCCCGTGTTTCTGCACAATGCCCTCAAGTTGGCGCGTAAAAAGCTGGACAAAACCAGCATCATGATTCCCAGCAGCGACCTCAAGGAAAAGCCAAAGAATCCCGCAAAGGCATCGCTTCAAGGTTACACTGAGGAACAGTTTGGTCTACAAGACGATGAACGCGACCAAGAGCTCTTTCGGCGTCATCGCAACTGCGAGGATGGCTGCAATGATGGGATCGACTGGACGACCACTACCCTCAACTGTGTCAAGTCCGAAAGTCCGTTGTTTCACAATCTCGAGCACGGCACTGCCGGCAAAACTACCATGCGAAGCCACACGGCGACAACCTCCATGACGAGACAAAAGAAGAGGGGCCCGCCCCAAAAGAAGCCCGTTGTTGTTCCCGCCAACAAAAAGAAGACCATTCATAATCCTAGTAGGTTGATTCACTTGGGTATTGTGGCAGCAACTTGCATTGAATGCGACGAAGAGACTGCTAATGATCTCAACTAACTGCGAAACCGGGGCTCCCAAACTTGTATACCTTCTTGTCTCAGAAAAGATAACTTTATTGTAATATTGTGAGTTGTATTGCAGCTGGTAATCCGTTTCTAGCTACCCAGTAGATCTGGTCATAGTGCATCCTTTGCTTCTTCCCGAGGCCTGCTGTATCGACCCCCTCTTTTGCATTCATCAGTTGAGGACTGGCATGGCCGGTTCCTTCTGAGAGCAGCCAGAATACCGTACAAGGAGGTAGGACAGACCTTATCGAGGCGATGGGGAGGAGTTGCTTCTTGACCTGTCAATACTTCGACAATACTTTGATTACTACTAGTACTGCTATTTGTTAGCTAGCTAGTTTTGTGCCTTGTACTCTGCCCATGTCGTGTAGAGAGGATCCTTGGTGTCGACGGGCTTGTCTGCATTGTCTTCGAACATGAGATAGGTCATGACCAAATCAACCGTACTGAAGCCTGTGCTCTGGATTTGTTCATGGAGATGGTTTGCAATCCCGTCTCGAGGAACCAGATTCATGGCCAATCCAACGGTATCGTCCAAGTTCTCCACGGCATGAGGACAACTGGGAGGAATGTACACAAGCTGGCCTGGCTCTTGAATGAATTCGTAGGCTTCTTCGGCTCGATGCAGCAACGGGAAACGATCACTGAGGAACTCATCAAACTCTGGGTCCTTTCCCGTAGCCAGCACATCCGGGTAGGTCGTAAAGTCGTCGATGCGCTCGTAGGCATGGACGCGTTCCGACCGATTGTACACAATCCATCGTTTCCGACCCGAAATCAAGTACATGAAGAATGCAGTGGCCCCCGAATCAATGCTGGAAATGAATGAATGAATGAGTGAGTGAGTGAAAGCAAGGGCGTGAGTTGGCTACGGTATCCAAGAAGCACCGATATATTGAAGGGCACAACGAGCAACGATCGAGTGACCATCACCACACACTACTTACTGTAGTTTTGAATTGGATCCCTTCTTTCCCATAAACAGCGACGGCCACGAGTTGGCATAGAAGCTTTGGGACAAGCGCTGGGCCATATCGTATCCCCCAATGACCATTGGTATCTGAAACTTTTGTTTCTTACTGTACGGAGTCTCATCGTAGAGCAATCGATCGCAATATCCCGGCAAAGTCTTGTCGTGTAGATACAACGTGTCCACTTCCTCGGCCAGAATGGCAAATTGTTCCATGGTCAATGACCGATCAAAGCGGTCCTTTTTGTTGTGCTTGCTGTTGTCGGGTTTGTCTGTTTTGCTCTTGCGCACAAAGTCTTCCGCCTCGACGTCCAGTCGCGGTTGGTCTTGACCAAAAAAATCTTCTTCGAAATAGTGCTGGCCATTCATATTGCGTGGTTTCCGACGCTCAGAATTCAACAACGAATTGGGCAAGACAAATCGGCCCAATCCTCCCCACCCCGTGGCGGCCGCCTTTTCTCCCACCTTGCGACTGACTTGAACGGAATCCGTGACATCCATGGAGCGACATTCCTGGACGATATAGTCAATGGTTACATTTTTGAAATCGGGCAGGTCGTCTGTCACGATCATTTGCACATGGGATAGAACGACGGGAGTTCCCGTGCGGGTATATTTGTCATGAAAGGCATTGTAATCGCCCAACAGATGATAATCTTCGGGATCCTTCATGTCGAGGACATCCATGGTTCGATACGGAATTTTGTTACTGTCGCGAGGATGTTTTTTCAAATAACTCAAATAGTACTTGCTGAGATGTCGATGAAAATCGCGGAGAATATTGTACCATCCCGTAGTGAGTTCCGCCAGTAATATAGACGATCGATGAGGTTCGGCTTCGACCATGGCCCGTACGGTAATGTAATCTCGCAGGGCATCTACCAAGGGCAATGTAATGTTGGCATCGTATCGATTGCGCCGTCGATCCGCGGCCGTCTCTCCGAGGGAAGACTGGAGATGGTCCACGAACTGCTGTTTCAGAGTGGACGGGAAACGTCCCGATCCAAATACCATTTCACGGAGATAACTTTTCAGGAGCACGGGTACCTCCATTTTGGCGGCAATCTCGGGATTGATGCGCATTCGCTCCGCAAGTCGAGGATCATTGGTTGTAGTTTCGTCGTCATGGAACAGTTCCTCGATGAGTTGATGTATTTCATCATTCATTTGTGAAAAGTAAACACCAAAATTGGTTTGTTCATCTTCTCGAGCACGTCGTGCCGGTGACCATGTACGTTCGTATCCTTCCGCCCATGCCAGGTATTCGTCAATGACGGCTCCCAGTGTATCGAGGTAATGATCGGAATTTTTGATTTTGATCGTGGCGGCTTTTTTATACGTGAAATAATAATTGTTGCTGATTTTTCCATCGTCCTTGGCGTGATTTTCCAACAAGAGTCTCAATTGTTCTCGTCGTGTCGGCACTGATGATTGTTGTTGTTGCTGTTGTTGTTGTTGTGTTTGGTCTATGGATTGTGGTGTTTGGTCTGGTTGTGTAGGTGAAGTAGTCGTACTAGTATTTTGTGCTTGTGTCGTTTTCTGTAGTGCTGCTTGTTGTTGCTGTTCTTGTCGATACTTGTCAAACGGAAAGGAATTGTCGGAATGATGAAGTGCTTCGTGATTCATTTCCAATTCGATATTGGCCTTTGTCGTAATCAGAGGCGGCATGAATCGCCAATCATCTTGTGTGGCCACAACAAGCCATCGATCCAAAATGGCAATGCGAAGTGGAATGGCGCCTGTGACCAAATTCAAATCGACTTGTCCATAGACATTGTAACTAGGTGCCAACAAGAGCAACGAATGAGGCCAATAGGGCGTGCCCAACGAAAAATCCAAAAAGGTTTCATTGGTCATGGCCAGAATGGCATTGGCATTGCCTTCTAACGAATCGTGATAATCGCGGGCAAATGGATTGTGACTGCCATCGTCGGGACCGAGTTCACCGCCGCCACGAAATCCCAAATATTCTTCTCGCAAGAGCGAATGCTTTCGGCCATTGAGACGGGCAAATGTCACGTCGTTTTGATGCTTATAGCGGTGAACAAACTTGTCGTAGATCCCCTCCAATATCAACGTGTGTTCGTAAGTGGATCGTTCGTCCCAGGGATCGTACAGTAAGACGCATGTCCATTCTTGGGATTGAAGGACATCTTGAAAATTGGACACCCCCAGTTCCACCACTTTGATGACATCTTCTTCTTGTTGTTGTGCTGGTGATGTTTGTGTTTGGCCTTGTACAATACCCAACAGACTGGACAGAAGCAAGAGCAACAAACAATAGTATTGGTTCATCTTGCTTTTCTTTTTTTAAATAGACTTCTAGTAGCTAGCTTGGAGGCTTGGAGGATAGTAGCGTGAAATAATGAGGTCTGGTCAGGTGATGTATCTTGCAGGGTAGCATTGTTTGTTCTCTTTGATCCATTTCGCTTCTCATTTTGATGCCGATGGGCGCGAAAGATCTATCCCGTGGTATCCGTGATTGGATTTTTTAAAAACTGACGGACCCACTTTTCGTGCCAATGCTCACAAACCACACACAAGCAGCAACCCGCACTAACTAACATCACATACATCTACCCTCCTAAAAGAAAGTTAATAGACAGAGCAGTAATAATGGGTGTCGAGAAAGAGATACTGAAAGCCGGCGATGGCACTACATTTCCCAAACAGGGAGATCGTTTGAAGATGCACTACACGGGCACTCTCGCAGCCAATGGCAAACAATTTGATAGTAGTGTCTCCCGAGGACGACCCTTTGAGTTTGTCATTGGTATTGAACAAGTCATTCAAGGATGGGATGAAGGCGTCATTAAAATGTCGCTGGGAGAAAAGGCACTCCTCAAGATATCATCCGATTACGGATATGGAGCCGAAGGAGCGCCCGGGGCCATTCCGCCCAATGCCGATTTACATTTTGAAGTCGAATTGCTCGCCATTGGGGATCAAACCGCACCGGGGTTTACCGAGAGTTCGTGTCGTATTTTGTAGACTGGACAAGACAAGACGAATAAGAGACAAACAGATTCCACAATCAGCAAGAAGGAACCTAATAAGCCCAGAACCAAGCAGGTTCAAAAGAATCCTTTTCAATAAAACCTAAATTAGTAGTGAGTACTAATACCTTTCCACCGCCAACGTAAATCTTCAGAAATCTCTCGCTCTCTGCGGCCGTCTTCTAGAATAGGTTATCTATGTGCATTCTAAAGCAAACTAGTAGCAGTACCCCGAATGCAGCTACTGTATGCTGCGTCTTTCCTTCCGGAGTGCCGCCCTGAGCCGTCCCAGTTGCCTCAATCAAAAACACAAGAGAAAAGGTTGCCATCAAACAACAGGCCAGCGCCCACCCATTCTCACGTCACAACAGCCTCGAAATGAAAAAAAGGGCAGCACGTACGCCAGTAGATGTATATCATAATGGTTTCCAGAGTTCCCTGCTGAATGAGACATTGATGATAGCAAGTTGTTATTCTTGGTTAGTCTGTGGCCACTTGCTCGCTTGAACAACGCTCGCTAGCTTGAATTCCTGTGAAAATGTTCTGTAGTTGTGGTGGTGCTGTCGTCCAAGGACTTGCGGCCACTGCCAGCAGAATTCAAACAGCTGGAACCGGTGCTGTACAGTACAGTACGGTACGGTACGGGTACTTGCAGAGATAGTTTGTCTAGTTTTCTTGTTTTGTCAAGTTTTTCAGTATTCCAAATCGTTGCCGCATTGGATTCCTCCCGTGGATACTCCCAGGCATACCCCTTGCCATCTTGGCTTATGATTGCCCCCTCATTTCTTTTGCTGAATGTTTCCCCTGATGTTTTTTTCTATCGCACTCGTGCTGTCTCCCGATTTGTATCTTCGTCCCTTATTTCTCGCCGTGGCTGATGTTGTTGCCGTGCTACTCGATGATACACGGCCGAATGGACTCGTAGAATCAAAGCGAGTCGGAAAGTTCGCATGGCAATCCCCCATCGCAGAAGCGTCTTTCCCAATTTGGTCACCTTTTGCGACAACCACACCAGAGCCTTGATGATCCCCAGCAGCACCACGGCAATCCAACTAACCACCTCGGCCAAAAATAAAGTGAACCATTCGTGCACGCCCAGAATCATTCCCACACACAGTGGCAGCAAGCAGATCCAGTAGTGATGATAATGCAGCAGTGACACGCTGTTGTTCTCTTCCCATTCTCCTCCACATTCGCAAAAGCGAAGCAAAATCACCAGAATTCTGGTATGATGTTGTGTGGACAGGTCACCATGGCACACATTCTCGCAGTCAAACAGATCAAACATCATCTTCCTTTTGTCGGATGATGGCATGTGAGAGGGACAGAGGTGCACTCCACATTAGGGTGACACGTACCGGTACTAGTATTTGAATCTTTTGAAAGCCAGCAGGCTGGCAAGGAACTGGATTGGCTGCCTCTCATCTGGTACAGTGTAGAGCCAACTTGAAAGGCACGTGACCATTGTCAAGTTCAGGTTTTCATGTGAAGTGCAGCCGGTTGTGATTGTAATGAGCATGACAGTCGTTGCAATCCGTTGGTTGATACCGAGGACAGTTTCATACCTCGATATTGAATTGTAGTTAGCTAGTATCCAGGCTGCAAGTTTGTCTCCTGCCACTCGATCCCGTCCGGTTGGAGGGGGAGAAGACTTTCAATCCGTTTCTCACCGTGGAATCCACACCCTGACAGCCCATTTCCGCCTCAAGTTATAAACAAAACGTACTGGGAGCTTCTATTCAGTGAGGAAGGGCCAGATCTGTCTGCGTTACACAACATGATGGGAGACGCCGCTTTCAATCTTTGGATATCGGAGAAAGTGAAGGGAACACAGAGCCGATTGTGGTTGTGGTGCCACAAGGCAGGAATCAAATTGTCCGAGTGGATTGATCATGTGGAGAATCACGGTCTCTGTGGCCTTCTTGGTCTTTCACCGGCAGTGGAAGACAAGATACGATATTTCCTAGTAGATGCGCTTTTCTGGGGTCCTGCAGTTTGGTTTCAACTTGCATTGTTGTCAACTATTTGGAGTGTTTGTTTAACTTGGGCTTGTGCGAAACTGTCAACTTCCTCACCGACCCCGGTTAATTCTGATTTCTTCGAAATTGCCATGTTGACGATCTTGTTAAATCGTATATCTGGTAACCGGTATGCCGGCTTCACAATGGCTCAGAAGATGTTCATAAATTTTCCTTTCTTTGTTGAATTTCTTCTTTTGTCCCAAAGAATTTTCGGTTGTGGCCTCTCACTGGTGATTTGTGGCGACACCACTCCTGGTGAAAGCTCCACACATGCAATTCACAATGAAGATGGCAACCAACAACAAGGGGCCCTGGAGAGAAATAACCGTAGGAGGGCCTCACAACAGACACTTCGGCAACGTCGTCGTGGCAACCGCCGGGCCAACAGAGAACGCCAAGTCCAACAAATGGCCAGGGCAAATCTGGTCGTTGTGGATGAAACTGCGCCATGCGAAAACACCACAAAAGCAGCAGGTGGCGCTTCCTCTGATCTGTTGCTCTGCATAGGACATGATCTACTCTACAATCAAGTTGCCATTAATGGCCAGGACCAGTGTGCTGTCTGTCTGGATAGATTTGACAATGAGTTGGCTGACACATATTGTGCAGTATTGACCTGCAGGCATGCCTGTTGTGTACCTTGTCTCAAGGCAGTGGAGAAGCATGCTGATGGCATCGTAGAGATTGCGTGTCCGACATGTCGTGCGTCCCAGAAAACTGATCTAGCTCGAATTCCCTACGAACTTTACCCTACACAGGTCGGTGATCGCTTGGACATTCTTTCGGGAGTTTCGACCACCGAGAAGATAGACATGTTCAAGTCCCTTCTCCAGTTCAACAACTACCAAATGGGGAAAGTGGATCAGGCATTGGAAGACATGGTAGTTGGTAGCATTGCAACAAGGTTCACAACAACAAACAACGCTCGTGATTTGACCTCCCAGGAGAAGCAATCAATATATATGGAAACTCAACGACCAGTAAGGAAAATCTGCCAAGAGCTGGACGAGGCCCGAAAGATCCTACAAGAGACTCGAAGTACCAAGGCCTACAAAAAGAACAAGCAACGAGTCGAATATCTCAAGAAATGTCTTGTTCAGGCGGCCAACAATGCCCAGGAGGATGCTTACAATCAGATCAATAGTGGAGGCAACATGGGGATAATGGACAATGAAGGAAACTTGAAGGTAGTGCAAGTGGATTACCATGGTCTGCACAAGGACGCTGCAGCAAAGAAGTTTGATGAGTTAGTGGTTCCCTTGCTTCCTACATTGGGAAAGATCAACATCATCACTGGGTGGGGCAAACACAGCAGCACTGGAGTGGGCGTTCTGCAGCTAGCTTTGAGAGATCATATTGACAATCACCGCCATAATGACTGCATGAAATGGGAACCAGTTGAAGGCAACACAGGAATCGTTCAGGTGGTATGGATCTCTGGAAGTGACTGACTGAACAGAGCCCACGCGGGGTACCGGCCGGTACAGCCGGTGCCACGGAGTGGAACGAAAGTGGGGCGGGGATGACACAACTGCGGAGCGATCCAGGAAGTCAGACGAGCTGCGGAAGCGGTACCAGTAGTATGCTAGCTAGAGCCAGAGGCACGCAGTTTCAGCCATGACTTCTTGCCGAGCAATGGTGTGCCAATTTGTACATCTTCGGAGACCAGAACGACAAAGTGTTACTGGCAAGAGATCTTGGTGCTAGAAGCTGCCTTACGGATAACCAGCACCACCGGCAATCATCGCTGCACAGTGCCGGTGCCGGTACCTAGCTAGGTAATGGTAAAAGAGCACGATCGTACAGAGCACCGGAACCATGCTTGCAGCTACCTAGCTAGCAGCCCTAGTAGATAGCCGCTAAATTTGCAGAGGCCAAACTGTGACTGGCCAAAAGTCATGAAAACCTCCGAGAGTCCTCAGTCGGTTCGTTTGCGTCGTAGCGGTACAACGTCCACCGTACCGGTACGGTAGGACTGCTGAGCGAAGACGCATGAGCAATGGTTTCCTTCCGTAAACTCAGTACTTAACGTCTCAGAGAACTTCAATGAGCCCTTCTCCGTCCCTCTATTTTAAAATCCGTTCGCCCTGTTCCACTGCGTTCGTGTGCAAGAGCTACAGAGCTATTAATAGTCTAGCTACAGTATGACGGCTATTAAATAATGGTTACGTAAATAGTTGACATATTGAGTACTGAGTACGTAGCTTCAGTATTGGCTGTTGTTCACGAACCACCGCGTTTCCCGAAATCTTGCGAAAGCCCCTCACATACGTATCCAAGAGGTCCACGGATGGATGGCAGGTGCTGGCTAGCTAGCATCAGTTTGGAGAGCAATACTTGGAGCATCGTATGTGGTGGAGGAGGAGTGGTCTTTCTCGAAAGAACAAATAATAAATAATAATGGTCAAAGCGAGATCCAAGCTAGCTATTGGTACAAGCCAACAAATTCAACAGCTCTCCAACAGATTTACAGTAGCGGAAAGCGGAATACTGAAGAGCTCTTCATTATTCTCTAAAATCCACAAAAAAGAGTGGTTCCCGTTCCCTGTGCATCGAAGTCGTTCCTGGATCCTCGAATCTTTCGAAATCCGAAGTGTACCAGTACGATGTAAGTTTGTCCGGGGTCCAGGGTCCAGGGTCGAGCTACAACTTGCAAGCGAGCTCAAGAGTTGCTCAAGTGGTCAAGTGTCGATTGGAGAATGGAGACTGGAGACAATATTTTACTGAAAGCTGAAAGCTCTTACTGAGTACTGAGTACTTTTTTGGCTGGTCCTCAGCCATAGGGGCAGGGCGGACCTATTGAACGATTCAATCATTCTGGTTTTTGCCGTCGCAGACCTGTGAATGGTACTCAGTGACTATGTACAGTAGCTAGAAGAGAGCTACGAGTGCTAGAAAAGAGTGCCAAAAGTAAAAACTTAAAAACTTGACGAATGCTTCCCAGCTTCAGTGCTGCAATGTCATGTGCAACACGTACAGCGTACAGCGCACAGTACTAATAGTAAGGCAAAATGAAAGGCTAGTTTTCCGTTGGTGTCCAAAAAAGCTAGATTTAGTATCATCTTTCTTCAAAAGTACAAGTAAGTACATAAGTAAGTCAATAGCGAGACTTAATGTTGATAGCCAAAACTGCCATGCCACCGTGGTTACTGCATCAGCTCTTAGTTAGTGGTTCCAAGCATACCGGTAGAATTGAAAGTCCTTCCATCAACGAATCATTCGACACCCCTCAAAATCTGAGAAGACACGCACCTAGCTTGTCTAGGTAGCGACTGGTACGCTGTACTGTACCGGTCGGTACTCGTAGACTGACTTCTTCGTAGCTGCTAGCGAGGCAGTGCAAGTTCGGCTTGGTTTTTGTGGTCCTCCTCCCTACATACCTCAATGAATGAATCCTTCCATAAACCAACATCGAAATTGACAGGAACGAAGTTGACAACATGATTCCAGAGTACATCTTTGTCAGTAGTAGGTGCTCACAAATCTCAGACAGCCTCAGCGTTGATTCTGGTATCACCCACCTGGGCGATGACGATATGTGCACTGTGTCTGGTGATCAACACAATGTCCTTTTGCAGCCAAGAACACCAAACATAAGCCATCCTTTGTACACACATTTGCCAGCAGAAATTTTGGTGGTTGCCAGAGAAAGGTGCTATTCACGTTGTGATGATTATGGTTTGCCATCCACCCCGCAGCGAACTAGGAGCATCTCCAGCGCCAGAACAAAGAATGCTGAAAAGGCCCATTTAGGAATCAATGCCAATGGAAGACCCATTCCGAAGCGCAGCGGAGGTAACATCCCTGTACAGCCCCAAAGACAGGCAAGTATTTCCAGCCTGACAGGATCTCTATTGGGTGATAGTAGCCATGACCAAGATGATGACATCAAGTCTTTTTGTGGTGATGGTACTTGGTTGGAAGTAAAGGAGGAAGCAACCGAGACTGCTTTGTTTGCATGTGGCTGGATCAAAAGATGAACTACCTCCAAGGCCACTACAGCGACCCTTTCTTTCTCCTATTGCCAAAAAACGACGCACAAGAAGCATCAGAGCAAGATATGTAATTCCACCTCATGGTACGGTACACAAAACGCTCTCGCAAGAACTTTGATGCAAGGATCATAATATCAGCTAAAGGAGCATGAGTGGTGCTTGGTTTTTGTTCAGCGCTGGAGATGGTCGGTTTGAGTGATGCTTGATGATACGGTAGAGGTGTGCGATCGATTCGATTCATCATTCGATTAATCATTCGAATAATCAAATCCACCCCTGGCCTCTGCGTGAATTTGGAACTTTCTTAAAAGTGGGTTTGGAGTGTACTCTCTCTTCTCGTGAGTTGGCAATTGCCGTTAAGTACAGTAAAATTGCCAATTGTGTCAAAAGTACAATAAAGTAAGTATTTAATGGCATGCAGGAATGCTCGTGCATGACTCTTACTGGTGCAGTTGAAAGATATAGGCACACTGATTTTTTACAGAATCCAGAATCGAATCCTGCTTTGAACTCGTGTCCAAATAAATGTGCAAATCCACTGTGCTACCGTACTGTACTAGTACTGTATAACCAAAATACAACGGTAGTCACATGGTCGAGGGTACCAGTCTTTGGGGGATCGCACTGGTTGGTGGGACTTACCCTGTAGTCATAGTAGCCAGTTCGCCCCTACTTAGGCTTAAGTATGGGTATGCTTTATTGGGGTATGGTAATACGATAAGCTTTGTGAGGGTATTCTGCCGGGGAAAACCAGGCATTTGAGGGTATCCGATACTACTCAGAATCGCATTGGTAGTTGCATCGGCAACCCCAAAATACAACTTTTCGCCTAAGTATCTTTAGCAATCGTGCATGAAATACAACCTAGTCACACACAAACGTTCCGCGAAACTCAAAGACTTAAGGGTCCGGAACGCTTCTCTTAGTACTGAGAGAGAGTAAACTCTCAATGCTACCCTCCGAATCAACGCATGTATCCCATGTACGTGGGACTTTGCCGTTGGAGATCGGAGCGATCTTCATTACTCCGATCGATCACTCCTCTCATTCCTCTCATAAATTTGGGTATCGAAAGAAAAAGGCGAAAGCTATGCCATATTTGTCGCTCATCGCTCCTCGCTATTTTGTTATTATCCTACTCGCTCTTTTGTTGCCGTCGACAATGGCGAGAAAGAGGAAGTCGCTTGACCAACAATACCGGCCGGCCCTCACCAGGTTTATGTCTTGGAAGCATGGCCGGCAGACACCCTACCATAGCAAGAGGACCTTTACGCAGGTACGTTCGCCAAATCTGTCATTTCGCTGATCGATCGAACATCGTCACTGGTTTCGCTGATCATTGACTCACACCATGGTCGCTCTTTTTCATTTTTCTTCAGGAGGAGTTATTAGAAATTACCCCTACTGATGTCGCCCAGTTCCTCAACTTCCTTGCCTATGGAAAGATCAACCCAGGGCCCAAAAACCGCCCCACCCACAAGAGATCTACCACTCTTGAACAATACAAGAAGGCCATCAGCCACTTCCATCCGAACCGCCACGCATCATGGGCTGTTGGTCCCAATGTTGGGAATCCCACTCGATCCAGGGTTGTCAATGAAGTGATCAAGGCTGTGAAGAAGGCTGAGGTCAGGAAGCAGGGCAGGAAATCCAATGTCAAGAGGGATTTGAAGATCCGGGAATTCCGCAAGACCATTCGCATTGTGGAACGCGATGGAGGAGCGAACATTGACACGACGATCAAGATCCCAACCATGTTGAAGGTTCAGTTTCACTTGATTGGCCGCACTGATGATTTGACCAACATGGAGACTTTGGATCTGCGCAGCCACTCCAAGTTTCCAAACTTCGCTCTTGAAACCAAGGTATCCTGGAGCAAGAATGTCCAGGAGGAGCGTGCTTGCCCCAACCAAATCCTGCTGGGTGCCGCTGACCCTGACTTTTGCGTCCTGATTGCCTTGGCTATTTGGATCGAGACTCGTCTTGAGAGGGGACACGGTGATCCCAAGTTTCTGTTTGGCCATTACCGTGTCGACGATGAAGAAGCGTTCCTTGCCGCCATGGAGGCTCTGGACAACGACGAAGAGCTCGATGAGACGACGATCGAGACGGAGCCTGACCGAGTCAATGCCTGGTACCAACGGGCTTTGAAGAAGGCTTGGAAGGACCCTGAGTTCGTGGAGCTTGCGGCTCAAGTCCAGGGAAGCATTGGTACACACAGTGTGCGCAAGTTGCCTCCAACCTACGCTGCTGAGTGTGGGATTACCCAGTCCGAGAATGAGACTCGGGGTCGCTGGAAGGGAGAGAAGAATGGACACATCGTCCATGTGTACATCAACCTGGAGCAGCTTCCCACCGACGCCAAGGTTGCTGGAACGCTCGCTGTTGGTGGTCCCGTCAAGTACAGCATCAAGGCTGACAGCGGTGTTAACCATGGGTTCATCGGTGAGCATGTCTGTCCGAAGATCTGCGACTTCTTTGCTGACGACCCAAGCAACAACATTGCCATGGTGCTTGGACCAGCCTTGCTTTAGGCTGCGATGGAGCCTGGCTTGGAGCATATGATGACGGCTGAGATTCGCAACCGCATCCAGACGGAGTATGCCCAGCTTCGAACCACTTTGGATGAGGATCCTGGGGCCGACTACAACCCTGTGGCCAAGATTCCTCTGACAATCTACAAGGTAGCCAATGCATTGCACATTACTGAGTTGGCTCCCACCGCTCAGGTCCAAGCTGGTGCTGAGCCCTTGGTTGGAGGTGCTCCTGGTGGTGTCAACATGGAACAGCTCAACCAATTGCTTGCTCTCCAACATAGGACTCAGCAGGCGATCGAGGAGGCCCAGCAGATCTTGGCACAGGACATCAGCTCGTTGAGGGGCTATGTCTCGACCAACATTGCCATTGTCAACAAGAATATTGGGAGGATCAACCACTTCCAGTTGATCACGAGGGGTGGCGGCAATGGTGCTCCAAGGCTTCCGCTTCCTGGTGCGCCCGGTGGAGCTGGCGTCGGTGGTGGTGCTGTGGGAGCTGGCGTCGGTGGTGGAGCTGGCGGCGGTGGTGCTGCTGCAGCTGGCGCAGTTGGCGCAGGACTTCCCCCACCACCACCACCACCACCACCACCGAGGAGTCCTGGGTGTTTGGCCCGTCCTCCTGCCGCAAGGGCCCCGACACCCGCTACCCTCCCAGCGCAGCTTGCGAAGAAGCCTTTCAACCTCTACGAGTTGTGGGACGAGTGGATCAAGGGCCTGAACGGGAACAAGCGAGGCCGCGTCAAGGACAAGTTCTGCCGCCGCAAGCATGTGTGGGACTGTGTGATTCGGTTGATGGCGAAGGGCTTCGATTGGAGGGCAGCGGTCGACCGCATCTATGCCACCTACGGGTGGCTTACGGTCACCCAGATCATCAACAAGTTCAAGCACGACAAGAAGAATCAGCCCACCGGCTTCCACCCACGCTTGCGTTGAGCTGCCTTGGTGGTCCCCAGCCTACAGCGCGATCCTGCTGTAGGCATAGCAAAAACAAATTTTATATGTTTCATTTTAGTTTTAAGAATTTTTTGTGGTTATTGGTTTTCTTGTTGTGTTTTGTTATCTTGTTTATGATCTGAGTGACTTTGTCTTTGCCGTAGCGAGTTTCGAGGACTTTGCATTTTTCTTGGCTTTGCCACTCTGCCGATCACGTACCTTCCCAGGACGTTGCGATCTTTTGCTTGGATTGACTTGGTTGCGTCAGTCTTCTTGTGTTCCTTCGGTCGTTAAGTTCAGTGATCGTCTGTGTTCAGTGAGGCTTCGTTCATACCAGTGTGGATGTTCCAGCGAGCCAGTCGGTCGTTCGATGTTCCAGTCAGCTTGGAAGGTCGAGAAAGGTAGAAACACCCACAAAGACAGGGTAATACGTAGAGCCTGGTACTCCATGTACACGGTTGTATTCCTGGTTTGTTAGAGGGGTGATACCTTTACTGTATAACCAAAATACAACGGTAGTCACATGGTGTATTTAAGTATATCCTTGGCACGTGTGCAATGTACTACAAGTATTATAGTAACATGTCACGTCTCACGTCTCAGTGTCAATCAACCGGTACCACTACCGGCGGCTTTCTGGTACCTAGTACTACAGTATCATAGCTAGCTAGCTAGTACATGTAGTCTACTAGTAGTGTCTAGTGGAGTTTCCTATTTTTAAATTTGAGTCAGTGTAGCATGTCACGTCTCACTGTCAATCTTTTTCACGTCTCACTGTCACTCTGGGTGATATGATTGCATCCGCTAGCTAGTATCAACCTTCGCCTCCAACCAACCAGGAAAAGCTCCAGGAAAGCATATTTGATAGGAGTGGTGCGGTAGTCTGATACCGAGTAAGAGGCAGAGATAAATCGGATCACAATACAGTGTCGATAAGGCGGAAACCATGAGCAATCATCATGTGATTCAAAAGGACACAACTTGGACAGACCCCTATTACGACTTAACGCAAGCGGGTGCTGTGGTTTTCCCCGATGTGACTCTTACCATTCAGGGCACCCCCCTTTCGCCAGTGGTTGTTGCGTTTGGGGGCGAGAAAACAGCCATTTACCTTCAGGCATCTGCAAAGATTGTGATTTCCAACGTTAAGTTTGTTGGCGACAAAACCAGCGTTGGAGTTGGCTTTCTTCCTGCTGGCACCCGCCCTGCCGAGAGCACCGCCCAAATCTCCCACTTATTTTGCACCAACATGACAGCCTGCGTCGACGCCCATGACGCTGGCATGGTGAACGTGACCGACAGTGTATTCGTCAACAACTCAATAGCTGTGAAAGGCTTGAGGTCTCCACTCACCGTAAGAGATTCTGTTTTCGTGGGTCATGATACTTCCGTTGATCTCTTGGGTGGTTCCATCAATGCTCAGAATTGCATCTTCCTGGATTCCAGTGATTTCTTTCTTAAACTCGACGAAACGTACAGCGCGGTCGTTCAAAAGTGTCTCTTTTCAAAGGCCAAAGGGACAGCCGTGTTTTGCAACGTTTATAGCCATACAGCACACTTCGACATCTCAAGCAACGTTTTTGCACACAACAAAGTTGCTGTTGGCGCCGCTTATGATAGAACCCCTGAAAACACGAAAGTATCTTCTTCGCTCTTCATTGAAAATCAGATCGGCGTAGCTGGTGGCCCCATTGGGATTACGGATTCAGTTTTTTTCGGATCGGTGGTGGCGGCTGTGAGTGATTGCTGCGACATTGGAAGAATCGATGGTGTCACCTTCAAAAACAACAACGTGAGTATCGATGGCTATGTGCAGTCCATAACCAGGTCAAACTTCCTGAATTCCACAACGTATCATATCAAGAACAAGGATGCAAAGTCATGGAACGCCGCTAATAGTTATTGGGGTACTGATAACGTTGACTCGATTCGATCCAAGATCCACGACATATTCCAGGACCCTACGTTGGGCCTGGTGACCATTGAACCTTTGGCGGAGCATCCCTTTCCGGGGTGGAATTGGACACCGCCCGCATCCTTTCTGGGAGTTCCGCTTGCCCATCCAAGCGTCCTTGTTTTGCTCGACGACTGCTTGAAGCAAATGACAATGATGCAACGCCACTTTGCTCGAGTAGAAACGAAGCCAAGAGATACGCTTTTGGCGGCGAATGCACGCCTTGAGACGACGCTTTTCGGAGGAACTCCTTACATGGAAACACAGGCCGCGGGCGCCCCTTGGAGATTCCTTTTAGCTGCTGCTTTTGCTGCCCTTTCAGTTCTCGGTTTTCGTTGGAGTTTGCTTCGCAAGGAGAATTTGTGCAGCAATCCCGTTGACGAAGTTCCTGTGTGCGACTTCAAGCCAGGCCACAAAACCAGCGCTCCAAACACAAAGCGAGATACGAAGAGGGCAGCAAGGATGCCGCAGCCCACCTAGAATTGGAGCCTGAACTGTTGCTGCAGGTTGTAGAAGCAATGATCTGGAAGGTGCTTTATTGGAGAACAACAAGGTACAAGCGAGTGCATGCAACGAACGTCCCCCCTACGCCTCTGAGTCAACCAAGTCAGCAGATGATTCCGGCAAGTCTATATACATGTGCGACCACAGTCTTCATCCTTCAGTGTATTGAGTACCTAATAGTAGTGTCAAAGAGCAGCTTTCTCACCAGCGCGCAGTAGCATACTCGTAACATGCATAGACACCATTTCAATGCATTATTGCATTGGCTTTCTCTGTGTCATACTGGAAAGCTCGGTGCCCCTACCGTTATGCCTGTTGTATTAGCCGCAGGTTCGTTGCAAGAGGAAGGTGCCCATTCCAAAGCACCGTGGAGATAACGTCCCTGCACCACCCGAATGACACAAAAGCATTTCCAGCATGACAAGATATCAATTGGGTGATTACTATGACAAAGATGACAACACAAAGTCTATTTGTGGTGGTGTTTCTTGGTCGGAAGAAAAGGAAGCATCCAAGACCACTTTGCTCGCTTGTGAATGGTGAATCAAAAGAGGAATTGCCTCCAAGGCCACCACAGCAACTCCTCCTGCCACAAAGCAACCCGCAAGAAGGAACGGAGCAATATATGCAATTACACAAAACACTCTCGCAAGAACTTTGAAGATGTCATATCAAAGACCAAAGGCGAAATGAGGCAACCACACTTTTCAGCGCACCACTAGAAGTCTCTTAGTCTCGTTGCAGTGCCGACCAACTAACTGAAATACTCAGTCGAGTGACAACCCACCATGCAGCCACCAGTCGAAGCTGACCATAGCAAGATCGAGGTCGCGGCACTTTTAGACGTGTTTATGAAACTTACTATAAGCATTTTAGTACTCCACGTGACGACACGGGAGTGGAAAGTTTTGGGGTTTGAAGAAACCAGTTGGGGCTACCCAAGTTTGGATTGTCAGAAGAAGGCCAACATCATCATAAAAAAACAATCTCGAGAGCGAAAAAGCAATCTCGAAAGCATAAAATCAATCACCCAAACAACAAAAATAATGCAGGTCACTATTCCCGAGTTCTACATCGCCCTGGTCCTCTCCGAAGGGGGAGAGCCCAGCCCCGCTGAATACGAAAACCTGCGATTAGCTACCTGCAAACACCTCCTTGAGCGGCTCTCTGCGGCATACTCCAACATTGGCAAAGTCGATCTGAAGTTCCTTGCCACAGAATTCGGAACCAAGAAACCAGATCCAAAGTTTCAAGTGTTTGTGGAGGCCGAAGCAACCATCTCCTGCTCGGGAACGCAGCCAAAAGCGCAGGACATCCTCGAAACTCTCCTTGGGACCTTTGATCGGGACTTTTTGTTGAGGTCGGTCCGCCTGTTGGAAGGTTCGCCGTTTGCCTCTGCGGTGGAGGTACAAGCACGCCGTTTGAAGAGGCCCACCGCTGGTGGGAGTGTGAAGGCGCCCGCGTTTTACATGGCTTTTGTCTGCTCTCGGAAACCAAGTGTGAATCCGTCGTCTCAAGAAAAGGAACGCTTCCTTCAGCTCACACAGGAAGAAGCCATCCGCCAGTTGAGGAAACAGTACGATACAGACTTTGACGAATTGTCGCTTTCGATTGTCAAGACCGAGATCAATGAGAGCGCTGGCAAGCCAGAGCCGCAGTATAATCTTTTCGTGCAATTTGAGGCCACTGCCAAGTTCTCACAAAACACCCCAAGTCCAAACGAGCTTTTCCAAGGGTTGGGGAGACTCGTCAATGCTGAATACCTCCAAGGGGTTCAGCGAGTCGGTGATTCCTTCATGACACTCACGACCATGGTGTTGCGCCTTTGCATCTTCACCGATGGTCCCGAACCCGAAGAAGACGAGGCCGAGGACGGCGAAGGCGCCGGTGGCGGAGGAGACGGGGAGGAAGAGCCTGATGTCGTCAATGTCCGCCTCGAATTTTTCGTTGCCCTGGTTGTGCGGACTTTGAGCACCATGCCCGAAGAGAGCGAGCTCGAAATGTTCGACGGTTGCATCACCAAGTTCTTCACCAGGGTCTTGAAGCGCGCTTTCCGAGGACGCTTCCTCGGTTTGGAGATTGTTGATAAAGACCCAGAGTTTGAAAAGGGCTGTCCCTTGCCCAGATTCAACATGCTGCATCAGTACCAAGTCAACCTCCAGTTTTATGATCCGGCGCCTGGTGAGTTCAAGATCCTGTCCAAGATCACACAGGGGAACGTTGGACCCTTGTTTGACGCCATCAAAAAGTTGGAGTCCGATGTATGGAGGCAGTCTGCCGAGGCGACCATGGGTCGTGCTGTGGAAAAGCCCCCCACGGATGTTGCGTTTGGTGGATCGATCTTCGAGGAGAAGAAGGAGGTCGAACCCGTGGTTGAGCCCGAGCCGGAGCCGAAGGCAGCCCCACCCCCGCCAAAGAAAGAACCAGAGATACCCGAAAAGCCGGTCGAAAAGACGCCTGTGAGGAAGTCGCCTTCGCCCCCGAAGAAAAAGCCAACGCCTCCCAAGAAAAAGCCAACGCCTCCCAAGAAAAAGGCCGTCGTGCCCAAAGCGCCTCCTCCAAAGCCGGTTGGGCCTCAGATTGTTTCGGTTCGTTCCTATGACATCTTTTCGGCTTACCAGGTTCGCGACAAGCAAATGGACAATTTGAAAGTGGAGCCAACGGCTGGAGACTATGACGCGTTGGTGGACGCGACAAAGCGCTTTTACGTGAACCATTTGAAGACGGAATATGGTTCCAAGTTCCACCACATGGCACTCTCCGTTCGCAATGTCCCGCTCTGGGGAGCAGGAAAGCCGGACCATTGGTACAACGTTTACATTGACTGGGATATTGAAGTGAGCTTCGTCGTTGCTCCCGACGAGGACGCTCCCACCCGCTGGGAGTTGACCAAGACGTTGGTGTCGGCAGGATGCAACCAATATTTGAGATCGTATGTTCGCGGCCTGGAAGGGACCGCTTTTGCCCACACGAGCGCCGTCTTTACAAAACAAGTGGCCGTGTAATTAATAAGTGTTGTTAAACTTTATAAGGTGGATGTCTATAGACTGTATGAAAAACATGTCTACGGGGGTGTAGCCGTCTTCTCATATACCACTCCCCCTTGTATGAATCAGAGTATAGCCAAGAATAAAGAGATCATGAAGATGTGGATAGCGATAATAGCCACGCAACATGAAAACCCCGCCCAACGTGCTCCTGTTTGCGCGCTAGCTTGCCAAAGCGAAGGGATAGGTCACGAATGATGAATCTAGGCGTGAATGATGCAGATAGCAGCGTCACCAGTCAGTACGCTGCGTGCAATGCTAATTGTTGTTGTCGGTTTTGCAGTGCAGTGCAATTCTACAACATTACATTGTCATGCCGCTGAGAATGGTCGATCGAGGACTGCTGTGATTATACGGATTGGCAAACAGAGGCACCAACCCATAAATTTCCATGGCCGCCACGGTAAAGATCCCATCTTTATCCAGCGTCAGTGGTGGATTACCAAATGTCCCGCACGTATCCGTGGATCCACGAAAGAAATCATCTTCCAGTATAAATCCAAACGCCCCGGCACCACCCATGGCAATGACACTCTTTTCCCGATCGCATATTTGACAAAAGTCGTTGGATCCGGTCCATGGATAAATGGTCAGAGGCTTGTCCTCATTGTCGTCATGATTATTGTTGTTGCTGGTCACACCACCAGTGGTAGCAGGATGCGATGCAAAGAGAAAGGATACACCGTTTCCATAATAGGAGTGTCGTTGATGATATCCATCTTGTTCTTGCCAAGCATCCGACACGAATCCTCCCAATAGATATCCCGACGTGGTTTGCACGACCAGAATGGATTGTCGGTACGGAGCACACTTGTCGAGTAGGGTTCGAAAGGAATCTCCATCGCGACCAATGGAATATACTCGTTCCCATGCATTCATGTGTAGACATTCCGGGACACCGTCCGTCACGAGCTGTTGAAACATGGCGTAACTGAGCAGGCGTGGATTGGTGGCCAAACAACCGAGTTCCGGTAGGATTTGCACGGGGACTACTTCATCCTGTTTCTTCTCTTCCTCCTCAACGTCCATTGGCATGGTATCAATAATGGGGAGAGGACTCGAGGAAAGCCTCGTCAGGATCTGGGGTTGCGGTTCTTGTACCACAACATCATTGCTGTCAGAGGATGATGAATTTGTGGTCAACAATTCTTCTTGTCGATGCAAATGACGATGATGATGATGCTTGAGGAGTCCGGGATCCAATGGACAGAACAAGGCAGAACCCAAGCTAGCCAAGTCGTCATGATCCGGTTGATGTTCTTGGTCTTGCTCGTCGTCAAAGCTGCCACATTTAAAGTCTTCTCGTGTCTCTTCATCTTCGTCCAACGATTGCTGCTGCTGTTGATAATGCACTTCGGCAGCCGCTCGTAGAGTCAATAACGTTTGTGAGATTCGTTTGCGCGATGATGCTCTTCGACGTTGTTCCTGGACATTCTCGACGGCATGCACTACCGTCTCCAGCAACGACTGCATGGGATTGGTCGTGCCGAGGGTAGCATTGTGGGTGTCCTTGCAGGATGGCTGCGGTTGAGTAGCAACTGTCGCCATGCTCATGGCCACGGATACAGGTGCTTGCCAGCAGTGGTGTTGGACAGTGGTACTGGTTGTGCCGGCAAGCATTGTCGTATCGTCGTTGTTGCCACCGATGTTGCCGCTGCCACCAATGTCGTTCTTCATGTTGTGACGTTGCGCTGGTTCTGCAAATGCCGCGCTGCTGCGCCTCGACGAATTTTCCAAATTCAAAGGCCGGGACTTGACCGTTGCGGCTCTATCATCAGAACACGTCATCTGGCTCTTGGTCGGAGACTTCCATTTAGCGATGGTGTCGTCGGCGTATGCCAAATTTGGCAGTAGAGCCGGATTGCGCAGCATGCAAGATTCGATCCTGGTGACGCCATGGATGTGGCTGTTGCTCATCGCATTGCTATTGATTGCCTCATGAGTGTTGCTCATGTTGATATTACTAGTAGTATCTGTAAGGCTACCGGTTGCCATTGGCGTTGGGGACGGAAACAGTGTCGACGCGTTGTTGTTGTGCGTGTTGGCAGCAGGAAATTGTGAACAGGCAAACTCTAACCCTGAATATCCACTCACTCGCCCCGCGCTAGAAGAAGCCACGACTGAATGTCTTTGGGAACGAGAATCAAAGGAAATCCCTCGACGATGATGTTTTGGGATGGCTGTGGGGTGACTTACGGGAAACGAAAGATTCTCATCAGTGGCAGAGGAGAGATGCCACTGAAGAAGAGACTGATCGGAATGAAGACGGCGGTGTGGCCGACGAGGAAAGGTGGAAGCGATCATCATGGTGGCCGTTGTGAAGATTTCAAAGAAAATGTGATGGGTGAGCGTGATGTCGCCCGATAATGACAATGGAGGGGCCTTCTGCTCCCAGAAGGCCTTTGCCATCCAGAATCCAGAACACTTTTGAACGAATCCTGAGCAGCACGCCACCAATCAGAACAAGGATATGCTTCTCCAATTGCTAAGGGGCGGAAGCATCAGTTTCATCGTCGGAGTTGAACAGCTTCTATCCTCTATTCTACTGTAGCTACAGTACTGTACTGCTAACGGTCTACTCTGAGTACCGGGTCTTGCCTATTAGTACATTGTGGCCAGTACGGTAGATCTAACCGATACTGCAAACGTAAACCGATGGTACGGTACCGGCAGATCTTGACACCGAATCTCGATGCGGCTTCATCCTATTAAGTCAGCGGGAGCTGCGATACCTCGGCAGAAAGACAAATAGAAGAAAGAGGATCGTGTTTGAGATTGCATCCTTCTTTCAAGGTAGCCCTGGCGACAACACCCGACTTCGTCGAGTGTTGCCGCCCGGTATCATTCCCTCATTATAACCTTCTTTTTTATTTAAGCTAGCCCTGGCGACAACACCCGACTTCGTCGTGTGTTGCCGCCCACTATCATTCCCACATTGTAACCTTCTGTTTTATATTAATTAAGCTAGCATTGACGTTGCCACGGGCTAACCCATAATTTACAGCTATCATTCGATCGTGTAACTCTAAATTTACAACACCTGCTGGCTTATTGTGTTTTTGTCCTGAGTGCACTAACCTTAAATTACATTGATATATTCCTACCCCTAACTTTTATTGCACCTTCAATTTCCAGTTTTGCCAGCTTACATTATCTCTATCCTTATACCCTGGCTTCACCGGAATAGGGGATCCCACAGACAGGAAATGAGGGGGATCCCACAGACACAAAACGAGGGGATCCCACAGACAAAAACCAGGGAGATCCCACAGACAGAATATTTGCCATTAAAGGGGTAGAGGACTCAGGCACTTAACCTGCCGAGGTTATTATTATCTAAGAAGAGAGCATTAGGGTGGTAACCCGGCAATCAAATGTGCGTCCTAAGGGGGGAGATGTAATCCCCCGTTGTCATGATCAGGATGCAAAACCTTCATGTTCGAATTGAATCCCTCAATTCACAACATATGAAATAAGCCAGTGGAGATGTGGAACCTGGGCAAAAAAGGTTTCACTGTAGAAGCAGATACCTCTACTAGCTAGCTGGAAGCAGATACCTCTAGTGCTTAGCTAGCGCTTAGCTAGCGCTTAGCTAGCTTGAAGTAGGCGCCCCTAGTAGCTAACTCGGTAGCTAGCTAGAAGCAGATACCCCTAGCTAGCAGCAGATACCCCTAGCTAGCTAGAAGCAGACTCCCGTAGCAAGCTAGAAGAAGATACCCCTAGCTAGTTAGAATACTAGTTATATAGCGTTAGAGTTTCCTTGTAGAAGCAGATACCCTATGATACATGTAAATATAGCTTTAGCTGGTTTAAAAGCAGCACCCTAGCTTTCCTGGCATGTTTTATATTCTAACCCTACCCTTATACCTGCATGCTTCACCGGAGGAAACAGGAAACACAATCAAAGAGGTTGAGGGCTCTGGCAGCAAGATTGCGGGGGTCAACCCTTATGAAACAACACCTTTCCTGTTGTCTCGTGAGGGATGATACGAAAGCAGGAATTCATGTAAGTAACGACGTGCTCATACAGTATTGTAGTATTTGTGCGATGATTGTAGCTGCTAAACTACGATTCTATTATAACATAAAATCTAATTGGATTTCTTTCCGTCCTTGGACGCACACAGAATGCACTTCTTTTCTCCCGGTCGACTTTTCATTCATGTTTAGCTTGCTACTAGTGGTGCTCCTGCTGCAAATAGAGAATCTTCCTCTCTTTAGTTCTCAGGTTTGTTGTTGTTGCACGGAGGACTGACCAAATAGCTAGCTAGCTAGATAAGAAGCTACACTGCTGCTCTCTCACTTATCTTGTTACCATGTCATTACACTGGAGCGTGCCTCGATTTAGGGTAGCGTTTTGAATATGGTAGAGTTTCCCTAAATTTTGGGTAGAGTTTGAAAACTCTACCCTATAGGGGCAGAGTTTGAAACTCTGCACTAATAATTAGGGTAGAGTTTGAAACTCTGCCTAACTAAACTCTACCCAATAGGGCAGAGTTTCAAACTCTACCCTAAATCCGAAACGGCCTACGTAGAAACACTACTCCTGTTTACGCAGTCCCGTTTGGAATTAGGGCAGAGTTTCAAACTCTACCTTAATTATTAGGGCAGAGTTTGAAACTCTACCCTAATAGGATAGAGTTTAGGGCAGAGTTTGAAACTCTACCCAAGATTTAGGGCAGAGTAACTCTGCCCTAAATCCGATTCGAAAATCCTACCCTAAATCGTAGATGGTGACTGTTGCGGCACGATCCTAATTGATAGGTGCACTAACAGTTTATGTTGCCCTTACTACACTTTCTTTAATCAACTGCGCATATTCCTACTGCTACAGTTACTCTCTTCATATTCCACCCCCTCATTAGAGCAACAGAGCCACTTTGCAGGAAGATCTCTGAATCTTCCACCCAACACAACGCCCAGCGGACGCAGCAGATCCCGCCTCTGTGCTGGGATTTCCGTCTTTCCGATTAATTACTCGTACTACTACTACTACTACTACTACTACTACTACTACTACTACTACTACTACTACTACTACTACTACTACTACTACTATGTTTATTTCCTGTCGCTGCTTGTAATCCCTTGTCCCCTTGGATTCTACAGGGCAACCCCTTAAAATTGTTCGAAGACCGATGCTCTTCCGAGCCTTCCATCATGAAGCCTTGTTTCTTCATTCATCACGTCTTCTTTGAGGATCGCTGGCATCCTGACGTGCGTCGTTTCACTGTTGACCAGGCTACTCATCTCAACAGCGAAGCCTATGGAGCTGCCATTGCTTGTACCTGGATGAGGACTAAGAAGAAGACGACCGTGTCTTCACCGATTCTACCACACAGGACTGCCTCAAGAACGATGACTCTAATGACCTTCTACCAGCTCTCCGCCGCGCAATTATTCGCGACCTTAACTCACCTGTTCCACATATTAACACTTCCAGGCTAAGTGCAAGATTTTGAACCTCTTATCTTTTGTGCCCGACTCTCAGTTGAGTCTCCCAACACTGATCTGGTGCCTTTGACCGCGGGTTCATTTGCTGCTGCTCACAGTGATGTTACTGACTCCTTCCGTAATGGCTTCAACTATTCTCCTGTCACCACCATTTACATCTACACTGAGCACCTATGCCGTTGATGTCTTGACAAGAATGTCTACTGCTTGACCGACTTTTGCACTCGCAGACCCACTGTTGTTCTTCCTTCCTATACCAACATGTCTGACCGCAAAATTAATTATGTCAACCCAAACCCATCCCCTCCCATTATTCCTTCTCTGTCATCACCCATTCTGATTTCCTCATTTTCTCCATGCCAACCCGAGCCACCCTTGGATCCTGCAGCCTCACCATCTCCGGTTACTTCTCGATCATCCGACCCGTCCTCTGATCCCGCTGCATTGGCGCCTTTGGTCTCATCCAATTTATTTTGTCTCCACGGATTCTTTTCGAGACAGACATTTCTCCTATTTCCAATCACAGGAGGGTTTCTCGATCCTTCCTCCCAATTTTCTCCTGCCGACAATATTCGCTCTTGTTCTGCTGTTCCCTTGGTAAACTCCCTTCCTGATGATTACCCCACGATTGCCACCAATAATCGCTCTGCCAACGATCAACGCCTCGATCCCAATACACTCCACTATGACACTAACTTCGACTATTACTACAACAACAATGACAATTGCTACCTGTACGACGAAACCACCAAATGCTTCACTGATTCGTACGGCAATTCTTATTGCTAATTCCTACCTCCGGTATGCATTCCATTCCTTTCCCACATTCTTTTTCTGTTCTGCTCCTCTCACAACTGGTCTTCTTCTTTCACGCCTTTTTGATCCCAAATGCTATCCCATTCCAGATCAAAGCAAGGTCCAAACCAAGGTGTTTCTGCATCAGTTGGTGCGCAGCGCTTGTTCTGTTGCAATGTGAGATTGCTATATCCACAGATTTGAATTTTTATTGCAGTAAGAGGCACATCAAACTCCTTCTTTGATGATGCCATGGCTGCAAGCTAGCTAGCCACACTACTGCTAATCTTGTACTAGCTAGCCCACTGGCTGGTGATTTGGATTCTTTGTGCTGGGAGAACCGCCCGCTTACCCATCGGGATATAGTTTATGGTACCAAGAGAGGTGTTTGCCTTCCCGAAAAGACGGTCCAAAAAGTGGATCCCAAATCGTGAAGCAGGCAGTCTTGCCGGGCGGGCCTTCGTTGCATGCCCATGTGGAACACACAATCCCGATTCCAATCACTGCACGCATTCTTGGAAGAAATTACGTCACGGATCGGGATCGTGCTGGTTGGCGTTTGGTACCTGCACGCAATGTCGATTCTAGCACTACCTAAAAATGCGCTTCTTAGATGTGTGAAGCCATGTCGAGAAAGTAGGATTGGAGCAGGGGTTTTGTTGAATACATCTACTCATACCGGTACTCACAATTCAACATCATCACCTGTCCTTGCAGCAATACTACCTTGGTCTACGACCGATACGTGTATACCGAAACAGTACATGACTACATATTTTCTGAGGGCAATGACCAGTTACCAGTAACCTACAGCTTCACGGGAGAAATCTCTAGCAGGAATGAGAGACAGTTTACGGGTTGTGGAGGAACTTTCGCCGGGATACAGTGCGCTGGATGCGTTCTCTGCAACGACGGTTTTGTGAAGGACGGCATCATCTGGGTGGATTTTGATTGCTCGAACATTCAAGAAGGTTTGGTGTTTAATTGCGACATGGCCCCCAATTACTACGTACATTCTTTGAAAGGGTACAACAAGCACTGACACATGCTATGATTGATAATGATGGAGCAAGCGTCAGCAATATCTTTGAGCACAGCGATAATACGACGCCGGCGAGTCCTACTGCTGGCACGACCACGGCAGCACCAACGACGACTGGTGCCATCAATGGAACGCAAACAAGACCACCTGCTGGCAACGGTACCGCGACACCGACCATGCCCACCAATACAACACTGACCAAAGCACCCACCGAAGATTCAAACACAGCTTTGATTCCTGTAGATGACAATTCCTGCACCGACAATGACAACTGCACCAAGGGAGAACAGTTTTGTGGCAGGGATGGTACCTGCCACCCCTATTCATGCGAGGACTGGTATACACAAGGACCCCTGAGCTTTACCAGTTATGATGATGAAAATCCTGTTGATTTGACCTGCATGGATATCGCTGAGTCGGAGGCACGAGAGCTGAACCTCAATGCCCTGGTCTTTGCCTGCAAACGCTTCCCCATTGGACGAGTAGCTCCACAAACCAAGGCTGTGTCCAAAGTCTTCAACTATATTTGTACAGCCACACCCAGAGAAGGACATGGTTTTGTCTGTTATCGATTCAAAGAATATACGAACTTCAACAACTACCAGAATGACGTTGCTAGCCTGAACCTACAAATTCCTCCCTGTCAGGGGGGAGCTGACCAACCACCGCTTGCAGAGTACTGGTATCAAACAACTCTGGCACAAACGCGGCCTGGAGTGGAGGAAATCATTGTTACCGGACCGGAAAGAACTGCTGGTTTCTCCCAGGTCAATGCCTTCAAACCCATTTACGCACACATTTTCAGCCAATTTCCGGCACGGTGATGAGAAGCTAGAGCGACAGTGACAACAGTTACCAGCCACAGCGGTGCACTGGGACACCTTCAAAGCTTATGCTGCTGTGGTTGGTGTCTGCCGTCTGTTTCTGCTGCAATAGTTTACTGTCATACAACGGATGTTTTCATCCAGATGGAGAGAACGAAGATTGGATCCAGCGACGGAAACGGTGCGGTATGCTGGAGACTCTGAAACCAAGAAAGTGTATGCAACAATAACGAAAACAATGGTCAGTGGACCTATCAATCAGTGTAATGACATGATAATAAGATAAGGGAGAGTGCAGTGTGGCTGCTTATCTAGCTAGCTAGTTGGTCTGTCCTTCCTGCAACGCAACACCCTCCCGTTCACTAACAGTTTAATGTTGCCTTACTACAACTTTCTTTAATCACCAACTGCCATATTCCCTACTGCTACAGTTACCCTCTTCATATTCCCCCCCTGCATTAGAGGCACAGAGCATTTTGCCAGGAAGAATCTCTGAATTTTCACCAACACAGCTGACGCCAGCGAGCGCAGCAAGATCCCGCTCCTGTGTGGATTTTCCGTCTTTCCGATTATATTTACTCGTAACTACTACTAACTAACTACTAACTACTACTACTACTACTACTACTACTACTATGTTTATTTCCTGTCGCTGCTTGTAATCCCTTGTCCCCTTGGATTCTACAGGGCAACCCCTTAAAATTGTTCGAAGACCGATGCTCTTCCGAGCCTTCCATCATGAAGCCTTGTTTCTTCATTCATCACGTCTTCTTTGAGGATCGCTGGCATCCTGACGTGCGTCGTTTCACTGTTGACCAGGCTACTCATCTCAACAGCGAAGCCTATGGAGCTGCCATTGCTTGTACCTGGATGAGGACTAAGAAGAAGACGACCGTGTCTTCACGGATTCTACCACACAGGACTGCCTCAAGAACGATGACTCTAATGACCTTCTACCAGCTCTCCGCCGCGCAATTATTCGCGACCTTAACTCACCTGTTCCACATATTAACACTTCCAGGTTAAGTGCAAGATTTTGAACATCTTATCTTTTGTGCCCGACTCTCAGTTGAGTCTCCCAACACTGATCTGGTGCCTTTGACCGCGGGTTCATTTGCTGCTGCTCACAGTGATGTTACTGACTCCTTCCGTAATGGCTTCAACTATTCTCCTGTCACCACCATTTACATCTACACTGAGCACCTACGCCGTTGATGTCTTGACAAGCATGTCTACTGCTTGACCGACTTTTGGACTCGCAGACCCACTGTTGTTCTTCCTTCCTATACCAACATGTCTGACCGCAAAATTAATTATGTCAACCCAAACCCATCCCCTCCCATTATTCCTTCTCTGTCATCACCCATTCTGATTTCCTCATTTTCTCCATGCCAACCCGAGCCACCCTTGGATCCTGCAGCCTCACCACCCCCGGCTACTCCTCGACAATCCGAACCGTCCTCTGATCCCGCTGCATTGGCGCCTTTGGTCTCATCCAATTTATTTTGTCTCCACGGATTCTTTTCGAGACAGACATTTCTCCTATTTCCAATCACAGGAGGGTTTCTCGATCCTTCCTCCCAATTTTCTCCGGCCGACAATATTCGCTCTTGTTCTGCTGTTCCCTTGGTAAACTCCCTTCCTGATGATTACCCCACGATTGCCACCAATAATCGCTCTGCCAATGATCAACGCCTCGATCCCAATACACTCACTATGCCACTAACTTGAACTATTTAACTACAAATACAATGACAATTGCTACCTGTATGACGAAACTACCGAATGCTTCACTGATTCGTATGGCAATTCTTATTGCTAATTCCTACCTCCGGTATGCATTCCATTCCTTTCCCACATTCTTTTTCTGTTCTGCTCCTCTCACAACTGGTCTTCTTCTTTCACGCCTTTTTGATCCCAAATGCTATCCACATTCCAGATC